ATAATATATGTATATATATACGTATACACATATTATGTATATCTTCATACGGATAAACCACCTAATTAATATGCGCAAGAAAATATGTATTGTCATACCGACGCTTATTTGAAACCGATATTTTTAAAATATTGTTGTCAAGAGATCATGACAGTATTTAACTACGAGGTGCAGCTATTGCATCACCTGATAATGCTGGTCAAATAAATACAATGCCTGCGCGTGCGCGTTTTGGCCAGATGGCCTGTACGTTGCATTCTTGACTGCGGTGAGCGGTACTGTAGAGCAGTTGTCTATTCAAGAAATAGCTAAAAAAGTGAAAGAGGCTATGTATGAGTTCCAATATCAACAAATTTGTACGGTGTGCATATGCCTTTTATTTCTATCTGGATAGACTATTTTTAGAATAAATATATATCCATTACATAAGTCATAACATCATGAACATTACACCCTTTTCCTGAGGCTTTTATACATACGATCTAAAATATGTCATCTCAAAAATTGATGAGGGGTGAAAATTTGAAAGACCTTTCGAAAGTCAAGCTGTCAACCAATCTCTGTCAACCAGCTGTGAGTCACAGTGACTGTGGGTGTGCCGTGAGGCTGGCCTGTGCCGCCCTGTGGCTGTGGCCGGTGGTGTGGGCCGAGGGGGCTGTGAGTCTGTGACTGTGAAGTGCGAGTCTGTAAAACGCAATTTCGTGAATTCATTCATATTTCATAGTGTCAAAAAGTGAATAGTCGTGAGTCGAACCCAGACTTCCCAGAGTATTTTTTATATATATAATGGGAACATTCGGACATGGATGTGGGTTGTACTTGTGAGTATATAGTCATAATCAGTATTGTGAGATGTGAGTTGTGACTCATCCTGCAGTCCTGCTCGTGGGTTGGTGGGAGTGGCCCGATCAGTGTTGAGTATCGACACTTGACTCTCTTGAGTATGTCAGTATGTAGTTGTATTTATATCGTCAATATTTTCTCTCTCGTTTTCTAAAAAGTACATGCACCATAATAACTCCACGACTCCACGAGGCCATAACCTCGAAACTAAATTCAACATAAGTAGGAGGGAAAAAAAAATCGACGACGCCGCGGCCGGCCTTGTCGGGTTCAATGTAATAAATATCAACAATGCTATAAATTTCGATTTCAAATGTTACTCTTTCCAGCAGTGAAAGCTTGAAGTTCATTTACAGATACGCTATTACGTAAAACACAATGCGCTTCACGCTTTTAACTTCCCTGTCATTGGCAATTGGTGCTGTGCCAGCTTTTGCAGCCGAATTCACGTACGAAAACCAGACCGCCTGGTCGGATATCTCCCCAACCTGTGGTATTGGAGCTCGCCAGTCTCCAATTGATATTGTAACAGCTGATGCTGTCTACAATGAAGTTGCCCGGGACTTCGTTTATACTAATCCAAGCCTTGTGTTCGGCATGATAACTAATAACGGACACACTATTCAATACACTTTAAACGACGCATCTGCTGCTAATACGTACGCGGAGGGAGTGCTTAGTGACAGTGATAGTACCTTCAGTTTGAAACAACTGCATTTTCACTGGGGTATCACTGTTTCTAATGGTTCTGAGCACTTGATGGATGGCAAGTCCTACCCACTTGAGGTACATCTCGTACATTTGAATACTAAGTACGCATCCATTGACGAGGGAGCTGCTAATGCTGATGGTTTGGCTGTGATCGGGTTGTTTTTCGAGGAAACAGCTGATGAGAGTATGGGCACCTCTGCATTGGCCGCTATCGCCGAGTATGCGAAAACAAACAATTCTGTTGAGTTCATGGATGGTGCGACAACAGAGAAGATCCCATTGAACCTCGATATACTCGTCAACCAGTCGCAGATTTTGACTACCAAGCGGTTCTATACATACGAAGGGTCCCTTACCACTCCTGGATGCAATGAAGCGGTTCAGTGGATTATCGCTGAGGGCGTGGGTAAGGTGTCTACATCAACCATGGATGCCATCCGCATGGCAAAGCACACTACAGATCCAAGGAGAGATACAGACGGCATTGCACCGAATTTTCGGGATACGCAAGCCTTGAATGGAAGAGTTGTAACGTCATCATTTGACGTAGATGGCAATGGTAGTACAATCAATAGTGTTGGACCTGCGACGTGGCTCATAGCTGTCATCGCCGCACTGACGGCGATGGTTGCATAGGACATTCCTGATATCTTCCAAAGTCGCCGATGCACAACCCAATGCCACTGGTTTGGCGGAGCTATATTTGTATTAATTGTGTAGTAGTATCACAGGTCGAATACATTTTATTGCATATACAGTTTACAGCAGGTAATTTACTTTACAACCAAGCACTTAAATTGTTTGCACATACAGTAATTGGACTGGTTGGACAACAAATAAACAGACCACAGTGTGGAAACCCAAACAAAGGTACTCACGATTAGCTGGTTCAACTTTTTAAAATATCATTACCTGGTACAGTAGGAAATATCTGCTTTCAAAAATAAAGGTGGACCTCCTGTAGCCTGTTGTAGGGAATGTAAATAGGCTGCCGTTGAGATGCGCACTTTTAATTATTAACATCGAATGGCACACTTTCTTTC